ATGTGCAACATCTACCAACAAATTGGAAATGAACAAATTAGTTTAAGTTGCTATTATTCGAAAATTAGAGAACGAAACCTTATGGGTATCTTTTATTATTTGTCACAATATCTTGTGGAATTCTTTCGAGTATCTCGCCTATATAATCTGTATCGATTATTATAGTGTTGTAGGGTATTCAACGGTCGGCTCCGCTCGACTGTAGCCTTTGCTTACTTGTTTAAGAATATTTTTTCAAGGACTATAAGACTCATAAACGTGGACTTTTTAAGAATATTTTTTCAAGGACTATAAGACTCATAAACGTGGGCTTTTTTAAAAATATTTTTTCAAGGACTATAAGACTCATAAACGTGGACTTTTTTAAGAATATTTTTTCAAGGACTATAAGACTCATAAACGTGGACTTTTTTAGGAATATTTTTTCAAGGACTATAAGACTCATAAACGTGGACTTTTTTAAGAATATTTTTTCAAGGACTATAAGACTCATAAATATGGACTTTTTCAAGAATATTTTTTCAAGGACTATAAGACTTAAAAACGTGGACTTTTTTAAGAATATTTTTTCAAGGACTATATAACTCATAAACGTGGAATTTTTTAAGAATATTTTTTCAAGGACTATAAGACTCATAAACGTGAACTTTTTTAAGAATACTTTTTCAAGGACAATAAGACTCATAAACGTGGAGTTTTTTAAGAATATTTTTTCAAGGACTATAAGACTCATAAACGTGGACTTTTTTTAAGAATATTTTTTCAAGGACTATAAGATCCATAAATGTGTATTTTAAGAGAATATTCTTTCAAGGACTATAAGACTCATAAACGTGAACTTTTTTAAGAATATTTTTTCAAGGACTATAAGACTCATAAACGTGGACTTTTTAAGAATATTTTTTCAAGGACTATAAGACTCATAAACGTGGACTTTTTAAGAATATTTTTTCAAGGACTATGGACTTTTTTAAGAATATTTTTTCAAGGACTATAAGACTCATAAACGTGGACTTTTTTAAGAATATTTTTTCAAGGACTATAAGACTCATAAACGTGGACTTTTTTAAGAATAGTGTTTCAGGAACTATAAGACTCATAAACGTGGATTTTTAAAGAATATTTTTTCAAGGACTATAAGACTCATAAACGTGGACTTTTTTAAGAATACTTTTTCAAGGACTATAAGACTCATAAACGTGGACTTTTTAAGAATATTTTTTCAAGGACTATAAGACTCATAAACGTGGACTTTTTAAGAATATTTTTTCAAGGACTATAAGACTCATAAACGTGGACTTTTTTAAGAATATTTTTTCAAGGACTATAAGACTCATAAACGTGGACTTTTTTAAGAATAGTGTTTCAGGAACTATAAGACTCATAAACGTGGATTTTTAAAGAATATTTTTTCAAGGACTATAAGACTCATAAACGTGGACTTTTTAAGAATATTTTTTCAAGGACTATAAGACTCATAAACGTGGACTTTTTAAGAATATTTTTTCAAGGACTATAAGACTCATAAACGTGGACTTTTTAAGAATATTTTTTCAAGGACTATAAGACTCATAAACGTGGACTTTTTTAAGAATATTTTTTCGGGGACTGTTAGACTCATAAACGTGGACTTTTTTAAGAATATTTTTTCAAGGGCTTTTATGGTCAATAACGTGGACTTTTAAAGAATATTTTTTCAAGGGCTTTTATGGTCAATAACGTGGACTTTTAAAGAATATTTTTTCAAGGACTTTTTTAGCGTGGATATTTTTAACAAGGACTTTTAGGGTCATTAACGTTGATTTTTTAAGATTATTTTCCAAGGAATCTGGATTTTTTAAAGACTATTTTCCAAGGACTCCTTTAACATTAACGTAACGATACCAGTCATGAGCGGTGATCTTTAAATAATATCTTCTTAGGCCTTTTTGAACTATAAATAATATTGACGAATATTCCCTACTTTTTTAATATCTTAACACTAGCAAGTGCCAACCACATCGTCTACGAAAAGTCCACCTTAAAATTCTAGATTCGTTCCACCAGTTAATTTTAGTATTCACAATTCGTTCATTATTTCTTGGACAAAATTTCCAAACAAAACTGTACATCATACTAAATTTTCAGCTGCACTAGTTCGATAACACTGTATTTATATTCAAGTTTTTCCTTTATCGATATGGATGATCGAACAATGATTAATTTTTGCACTAAAAAGTCTTCAAAATCGTTCGTTTTTAGGTTTACGAAGAGCATATTATTTAAAACCTTTGCACAATGGTTCCACAACCAATTTTTCTGGCAAAAACTATTTCAACGTCTTTTCCAAAACCAGTTCCTTCTCTCACCTACTGAGAGAGAATTCCAGCTCTCTCTCCTCATCCAACATATTTAGGAGTACGCATTCTCAAAACAATATTCATATCTCATCCTCAGATACCAACAGTGACAAAATTTAGTACCATTTAGTCCAATAATAGAACGCATTTACAAAGTCAGCTCCGTCTCTCAACTCAAGACGCCATCAAAGATATCTATATCAAATTTCGGCATACCTGGTCTAGACCTTCAGGATTTCATCTCTATCCCTTCACCTAATATCATATTTTGTACAATTTAGTACTTTTTTGTGCAGTTATACTACACATTTCCAAAACCACCGTCATATCATATCTTAATCTCACATACCAACAGAAACCTCAATATCAAAATTCGGGATTCCACCTTCTACACCTTCCCCCAATACCCAATCTAGTACCACTTAGTACTTTTTAAACAATTATAGTACACATTTCCAATACCACCTCCATATCTTAACCTGGGGACTACGGTGGCGTTAATATCAAATTTTAAAATTTCACCCAATACCCAATTTAGTACCACTTTGTACTTTTTGAACAATTATAGTACACATTTCCAATATCACTTCCATATCTTAACAGCAGTCACCTTCAGTGACGTCTATATCAAGTTTCAAAACTCCAACTTATTCCTTCACCCAATACCAAATTTGCTACTATTTAATACTTTTCGTACAATGTCAAATCCAGATACCAACGGAGACCTCAATATCAAATTTGAGGATTCCACCTATATCCCTTGACTGAATACCAAAATTGGTAGCATTTAGTACGTTTCGTACAAATATAAGAGACATTTCCAAACCACTGCCAAATCTCAGATATACCGTCAGTAATCTAAATATCAAATTTCAGAATTTTGTCTCTATTCCTTTACCACATAATAAATTTAGTACCATTTATTATTTTTCAGACGATTGTAGAACACAGTTCCAAAATTACATACATATGTCCAGGCTACATTTGAATGCGGACCCTAATTCCACATTTCAGATTTCAAGCACTGTATGTTAACCCAATAGCAAATTGTACCAAATATGCTTCTATTTCATACCCATTTCCAAAACCACTTCTTTACCAACTAAACTGTTCCAAATTTAGTACCATTTAGTACTAAATTCCAAAACCACCTTCATTTATTAAACTTATTTTCCTTGATTCTCATACCGAATTTCACGTTTTTTGCACTATCTGTTCACAAAATACCACATGGTATCATTTTAGAAGTTTAGTACCATTTTAGAACTTTTCTCAACCTTAAAATTCGTATTTCCAAAAAAATAGTTGCAGCATTTCATTTGTCCAATACATCAAGTTTTTAGTGCATTTTGGTACTTTTAGTATATTAAATATATTCAAAAACCCATCCTTATCTGACATCTTCGGACCAAGGCTGACCCAAGCGCAAAATTCAAAGCATCAGCCGTTTTTATACCCTACACCACAAGGTGGTCAGGGTATTATGTCTTTGTGCATTTGTTTGTAACAGGCAAAAGGAAACGAGATAGACCCATAGTTCCTTTTGATGATCTGCATAGAATCACATTCTGAGTCGATTTATGCATGTCCGTCCGTCCGTCTGTCCATGTATTTTTTTAAACAAAGTACAGTTCGCATTTATTTCCCTATCCAGATGAAATTTTGCACAAATCATTTGTTTGGCCCAAGGACGAACCCTATTGAAATTGGAGATAATCGGTCAAAATTTAGATATAGCTCCCATATATATCTTCGTCCGATTTGCCTTTTATTATGCACCAAACGTGTAATATCAGCCCGAATAGTATGAAATTGGCACATACAACCAAATTATGCCTGAAAATAAGTATGCCAAATTTGATCGAAAGCGGTTCAGATATAGCTATAGCTCCCATATATATTGTTCATCCGATTTGTTATTTTTGTCCTCCGCAGCCGTAATATGCACTCTGTAACAACAATATTTGGGGAAATATATCAAATACATCTCAGAAATACATTTGCTAAATTTTATCGAGATCGGTTCAGATTTGGATATAGCTCCCATATATAACTTTGTCCGATTTACCTTTTATTGTACACCAAACTTCTAACATTTGCCCAAATTGCATGAAATTTGGCACTTACGACCGAATTGAGTCTAGAAGCTAGTATGTCAAATTTGGTGAAGATCGGTTCACATATAGCTATAGCTTCCATATATACTGTTCATCCGATTTGTTATATTTGTTACCCACAGCCGTAATATGCACTCCGTAACAACGATATTCAGAGAAATATATCAAATACAACTCAGAAATATATTTGCCAAATTTTATCGAGATTGGTTCCGATTTGGATATAGCTCCCATATATATTTTTATACGATTTCAAATTAATTGTGCACCAAATTGTCAATGCAAGTCCGAATTTAAAAGATACAAATGCTTCGGCATGTTTAGCCCTTTGAACTTTAAATTATAATAATAATCATAGCGTGTATGATTGAATTCTCCCATAAAAACTTTTAAGTGTTATGCGCAGCTCTACTAAACTAGCAAAGTGGTGTAGGGTATCATAAAGTCGGCCCCGACCGAATTTAAGACCTTCCTTACTGGTTATATATAGATTACATCTTATAACAACTCATTAAAACATTTCTTCTTTTCCATTATGTTTTAGTTGAACCTGAAGAAAACAATGAAAACGAATCTAACAGCGGTGAGGATGACGAGGAGAACGAGGAAATTGAAGGTAAGATTCATAACTGAATAAAAATGTCATATTTTAAATTGAAATATTCATAATTAGCCTCTACAATGTTTTTGAAAGATATCCCATAAAAAATTTCAAATTTAAATTTAAATTAAATTTTTTTCTTCCACAGATAACCATGTTGTTGAGAAGACTTTTAAATTCGATGACTTTGCTAAAAGGTAAGTTGGTGGTATTCGTGACTTTAGTTTTTTTTTTCTTCCTTCTTGCCAAATCATTTGCAGCACATATCTTAAAGTCAGTTTTTTTTTAATGGCCAGTGATTTATGAACTCCTAAACAAATTAGTAATATCGTTTTTTTTTTTTTTTTTGGTCTTATTATTTTACTCTCTCCTGCCTTTTGTGGGTGGTGTGTTTGATTCTGTCTTCTGCTCGGGTCTAATTTCCTTAACCTAATTTGCAGTAATTTTTTAAAACTCAAATTACAAACATCACTTTTTAAACGCCTATTTGGCATTTGCCAGTAACGTTCACTCTAATTACGCCCGTTTCATAAATGAGGGTGTAATTTTTCTCTTCGCCATTAACGTCTTTTGTGCCGACGTTCGTCCTTTATGCCTTTCCTTTCGTCATACATCCGGTCGACGGCACACAAATAAAACGAAGACTTTAGATTTTTTAACGGTACAAATGAAATAGAATAGAAGAAGAAAAAACCCAGCAAAGGCCTGGAAACGGGTTCGACATTAAATTTTCCTTGTTTAAATTCCTTAAGTCCTTTTAAGGATTTCGCTGTGTGTTTCGATGGGCATAGCAAAAGGCATAAAACACACAGTCATAGGCAGGCAGGCAGACAGACAGACGCAAACAAAGTGGCGGCACCAACTAGAAAAAAGCGAAAGGCTTAAAGCTATATGCCACCATGAGATTTTCCTAAGAATGAAAGCAAAAACAACAACAACAACAAATAAACCAAAATTGCTGCCTGTGGCAGGAGTATGGAAAAACTTTTGATTTCTATGGGGGCGTCATCTGTCGCTATTTAATTTGTCTTTTTCAAAGTCAGTTTCGCTTCGTAAAAGAACGCTAATGCTTTCAATTGTAATTAGTTGCCAAAAGCAGACAACTATGAATGAAAGACGTTCCGATCGAAATAGGTCGCTGGTTTTTGTATGGGTAGAAGTTGCCAGACTCAGATTTAAGATTTTGGACGGGAATATTTTTTTTTGGGAAATTCTACCAAAAGTTGACTCAAATGAAAAAATAAGAACAATTTAAAAAGTATTAGACGATTTTGCCAACAGATGTGTACCCTGTTTTGACTTACATTATGTTTATTCAAAATAATGACCCTTTATAGAGAAAATACCGAGAAAGTGGCCCAATATTATCCATTTCTCATCTGAACTAACTTTGATATAAATGTCACAAACTTGCCCGATTCGGATTTGATAGACTACTTCCTTCACTTTAGTTGAGATATTTGATATTTTTTGGAAAATCTTGAAATATGCGTTAGGTACCAGATTTATTGGACCAAAGCATTTCAATTCAGGTAATACTGATAAATTTATTAGTATTGGAAAATTTGAGGGAAATCGAAAATCTGGTATTTTGTACATGAAAAGAGATATATGAATTGCAACCAGTGAGCCTTTGTGGAAGAGGTATCAGAAGGGGGTAAACCGATATCTATAGGTTTCACAACGAAACTTCATTAATAAAAATATTAGTATACATGACATTTTAAGAGAATCTGATGCTTATTTCGCGTTTTATGAGAGATATATATATACAATCTTGACCGGTTATGGGTAATGTACCAGAAGGAAGAGACCGATATATCATACTTTTATACCAGATCTTATGTATAAATAAAAATATTACAATGTGTGAAATTTTAAGACAATCGGACTCTTAATTCACATTTTATAAGAGTTATAATTGTTCCAAATTTGGACCCTCTGTGGGGGAGGTTCTTGATGGATATTGACCATTTTCGCACTGACGCAAATATTAGGATGGGCAAAGTTGGAGTTAAATCGGATTATCGTTTCTCTTTCTGTGCAAAAAATATTTTTTTTTTTTTTTTGAAAATTTCGACCTTTTGTTGGGGACGTACCAGAAGGAGTGAACCGATATTGCCCATCTCGGAACTCGATCTAAGTTTGACAAAAATATTACGAGGTATCAAGTTTGGAACTCCCTTCCAGAGTTATCGTGCACACCAGCCAGATAGATGGACGGACGGACATCGCTAGATTGACTCCAATTGTCCTGAATCGGATTTGGTCCAAAGAGGCCTAAGGTCTAAAACCGTTGTTTCGATGAGGCACGTTTTGGGCGTATCGAATGATATACAGGGTGAAATAAAAAACTGCAACAAAGTCAAATGACATATTTTTTTACACTTTTTTTGAATGAAATGATTTTATTGAATGAAAGCAAAAAATGTCGGAAATAGCATCAAAATTCGGAATAAGTTTAGATTTGTTCGAATTGGTCACCTTTGGCACGAATTACGGCCTTCAAAAGGCCAATGAAACCGTACACACTGCCCAAATGTTGCTTTGTTTTTCAAAATACTCCAGACACAATAGTCCAACGGATTGGTATCCGGAGATTTTGGTGGCCATTGTGTGCAGGAAATGAAGCGAGGAACCTCATTTTGTAACCAATCTTGGGTGGCTCGTGCTGAGTGCAATGGTGCTTAGTCCTGTTGGAATGTCCAAGGTCTGCGGCCAAATTGTTTGCGTGGCCTAATCCAGAATATTTTCGCGATAATATTCGGAATTTTTCGATTAATAAGAGCGGAGAGCGACCATCGGCTGTTATGGTTCTGGTGGCTAACCGAAGGTGCACCTTTTTAGCTGACCTCTATGGCAAGAAAGCATTGTTTGCGTGGCCTAATCCAGAATATTTTCGCGATTATATTCGGCATTTATTCGATTAATACGAGCGGAGAGCGACCATCGGCTGTTATGGTTCTGGTGGCCAACCGAAGGTGCACATTTTTAGCTGACCTCTTTGGCAAGAAAGCACGATCATTTGTTTGTTTACAAACTGCTGAACAACGAATGTTTTCTCATCGGAGAAAACCAAATTCGGGAGTTCACCACTTTCGGCGAAGCGAAGCAACTCTTAAACTCTTTTGAGTCTATTTTCCTTTTGTTGCGGAGTAAGTTATTGCACTTTTTGGAATTTCAATTGCTTTACCAGGAGCTCATTTTTCAATATATGCCGAATGGAATATTGCGATATGTTCAGCTCACTAGCCATTTTTCACCCACTGCGACGCGGGTTTCAATCAAGTAAAGAAACGATTTTACTTTTGAGACCATTTGTGCTGATGTTGCTGTTTTCTTCCATCCACTTCCTTGACGTCGGGCTACTCTACCAGTATCACGGTAACGAGCAATGGCACGAGACACAAAAGATTTATTCACATTTAAATGCTGGAGTGGTCTAAAGATATCCAGCCAGATATACAGAAATCACACTATTACTCATGAATTCCATCACGAACAATTTTCTCACCAAAATGCTTTTGTACGCTTGTAAACAATATAATGAGCTGTCACTGGAATAATTTTAACATCTGTCGGACGTGTCGCTTAGAAATGATAGCATTCTGAAATTGGCTGCATTTTTTTTCATCTCACCCTGCATAGTCCAAATATGGCACGTTATAATATTTATATCAGACTTAGGTCAGATACGAATTGGAAAATATAGACCGACTGTTTCGGAAAGGGTTATTCTAGTTGTTGACCCTTTACGAAGCAGTCGGTCTATATTTTCTAATTCGTATCTGACCTAAGTCTAATAACTCAAGCCTGGAGTTGTACATCTTTCGGCAAAAACGACTGATACTATTTAATTTGTTTTATATAAAATAATCTCTTCATGAAACACTTTCGAGTCAAAAGATAAAAAATCACTTCGATATATCTTGAAAGTTTTATTCCCTGCAAATCTCCTCTTCGGGGCTCTTAATATACTACCATGGCCTTTCATCTCCAAACAGAATTTGTCACCCCCAAGCTGTCAGTTCACAGTTTAATCGATAAAAACCAAATGGCAACCCTGCATCACATTACACGGTCGTCACTGTCTTTTTCCTGTAGACTTTTTTATTCATTTACGTTTTTTCTTTCGTTTCCTTAATTTGTTACACTCTGTTTGCCTCCATTGCTGATTTACATTGTTGGATAGATGCAATAATTTCTAGAGGCTTTTCTATGTCGTTGTCGTCCTACATCTTTGTAGTCCACTAACATTTGCGAAAGAGTTTAGAATCTAAATCATCGTTTAGCAATGAAAGTTGAATAACCATTGTGTGGGTTGTACCACCAACAACTTTCTCCGCCCCTCCGTCCAATCCCACTTTTCCGTGCGCCCAAAAACATACCACAAAAAATAAAAAATAGCTTTTCATTTTAATTACTTTCGGCTAATTGAAGACGACGCTCATCGTAGAAGAAGTGGCTAGCGGGGAAATCAAATGAAATGAAATATTTAATTGCTGTCATTTTTATTATTGGATAAATTACTTTCCAAATGCATTTCGGCAAACATTTGTATCAAATTGTAATTTAGGATCTAGTGGCACCGTGTAATTGTTTTCTAGGTCATAAATTAAAATTTAATGTGTATAATTTTGAAGCATTGTTTTGCGAACAAAAGGTCAAATGGCTTAGATATGAGAGGGTTGCTTGAGGCATTCGTTTTAATATTAAAGAAATGCTGGTATTTCAGGCTTTGCTTTCAACTGGAAATGGAAAGAAAATGGTATTACAACAATTCGATTTCAATAATATAGCATGGTAATTACATTGTTCCAGTGGAGAACTCAGTTTCTTGTTGAAGTTATTTGCGTCTTTGATCTCCAGAAGATCCAAATTTCTTCTCATAGAAGACCTGAATTCGTCTTATAGAAGGCCCGAATTTCTTCTCATAGAAGACCCGAAGGTCTTCACATAGAAGATCCAAAGTTCTTCTCATAGAAGAGAAAAAAAGTCTGCTCTTAGGAGAGCAAAAGGCCTTCTCATAAAAGACCCGCAGTTCTTCATAGAAGACTAAAGGGTCTTCTCCTAGAAGACCCAAAGTTCTTGTAATAGAAGACCCGAAAGTCTGCTCATAAATACTGAAATGTTTTCTCATATCCAAAAAGTCTTCTCATAGATGGCCAAAAGGTGTTCTCGTAAAAGGCCGAAAGGT